TTAGAGATCAATCTGTTATGTGTACATTCACAGTATACTTCAACTGCTACCCGAATGCCAAGTTTTGGAAATATTTCAAACATGGAACAAAATCCAAGGGATTCTTCTGGTATCTGAGATTCACGAGCCTTTGATAATAATGAAAGCATCCTGAAATAAGTTTCTTCCTTGAAATCAATTGCTTTTAATATTGATTTTAGAAGCTGAATAACCATATCAGAAAGTAAAGTTCTAAACTTGCAAACTCAGTTCATACTCTGTTTATCAAGATGTAGAATATGCTACTATGAATATTATTTCAGATCCTAGATCAGTTAAGATTGAACTTATTATAGTTCTTTTTTTCCCTGAAGGAGAAGGACCAAAGAGGAAATCTCATGCGTTGTAGGATGTATTGCATTCAAGAAGGTGGATGATGATATCAACCTGCCAGTTCTCACTTCTCTACCTTGTCTGTCCTATCAACCTACATGCGAGGTGTAATGTAGAGATGTATTCTGTTCGTACCCTGCCTCACCTGTGCCTGTGAAATATGCAAAATCAGAAATGGGACTTGATAGAAGTTCTTCCTGATTAGGAAATAATTGCCATGTATTTCTGTGTAAAACTACTTTGTTTGGACGAAGTTTTTGCTATCATTATCTGTCTCATTCTATTTCACAAAAGAGCTTCAGCTCTCACTAACCCAGCACTGGAGACTGAGAGGGAGTTTACAAGGCCAGAGGTAGCTCATGCTGCCAATGGGCACTCTCTTTTTCAGCCCCAGAAAATCTGAGGCCCCTACCATCACTATCTGCCAAAAGCAAAATTACAACTTGAAAAATCACTTTCTTCTTCTGATGTTTTACCATATTTGTGATTGTAAGAAGCACTGAAGTTTTGTGTATTTTCATTTAAAGGGAGGAGAATGACAGTAAAATGTTCTTGTAAGAGAGCTGTTGGCTTGGATTATGTTTCCAGCAGCCACGGAATATCCTCTCCTGTTTGCTGCTGCAATGGAGAATGACTACAGGGAACTAAACTGGGATGTGAGCTATGCTATTTGCAGGTAGGTTATACTAATTTCAGCTGTGACTTACAGAGGGATACTCTTGATGCTTTGGCATGCAGAAAAAGTCTCAATTTATAATGTATTTATTTCTGTGTGAATATATATTTGTTTTGGAAACTAAGGCAAAGTGTTACGAGGATTTTAGCCAGTAGCTGTATAGGACATGCTTGTGTGTGTGAAAGGGATGAGCCATTTTAGAAAGGAGCCATGTCATAGCATGTGTAAAGAATGTAAGTTACGTAAAATGGGTGACCTCAAGTCTAGTTTGAGAATGGAGGATGTGAGATATATGAGTATTTGATGCCACCATCAATTTGAGGATGACCACGGGTATCAGGGGATAAAGAGTTGCTCAATTTTATGAGGACATGGGTTTTGGTCTGTGTTTAGTAAGAGGAGATGCAGTCATGGGGAGCTGGTGAGGTGAGGCTGTGACCTATTAGTCAGCTCTGTGGTTATGTAGCTTGCATAAGAGTCAGTTATGGTAGTAGAAAGAAGTATGATAGTTCAATGAAAGAATATCCTCATAGGTTTTTTTCTAATAATTAAGAACTTGTTTGAAGGCGTATTTTCCTCTGGCAGCTAGTTAATGTATTCAGCAACAAGTCAGGAAGAAAATAGGGAGATAGATGTAGATATACACACACAGATATACATACATGCATATTAGATCCTGGCATTCATGGCCAAGACTCACAACTGCTTCAACCAAAGCTGATCACCTGTGTTTATAAATATAGCTGCATCCTGCAAATGAACAGGAGTCCTGTGTTTCCAAACTTTTTTTGAGTTTGCTGTTAACCTTTGCTTTGCACATGGAGGTATTTGGTTTGTGTAGCAGGGTTTTGGAGGGGGGTGATGGTGCTACAGGGATCCATGCTGGAGCAGTTTGTGAAGAACATAAGTCCTGTGGGAAGGACTCATGTTGGAGAAGTCCATGGAGCAGGGGAACAGCGTGAGGAGTCCCCCCCTGGGGAGGAAACAGCAGCAGAGACAACATGTGATGAACTGACCCCAACTCCTGTTCCCTATCCCTGTGTGCTGATGGGGGCAGAGGGAGGAGGTGATAAAAATCAGGAGTAAAATTAAGCCCAGGAGGAAGGGAGGAGTGGAGGAAGGTGTTTTTAAGATTTGAGTTTATTTCTCATTATCCTACTGTGATTTGATTGGTTATAAATTAAACTAATTTCCTCCAGTTGGGTCTGGTTTACCAAGGGTGCTAATTGGTGAATGAACTCTCCCTGTCCTTATCTCGACCTATGAGCCTTTCCTTGTATTTTATCTTCCCTGTCCTGTTGAGGAGGGTGGCTTTGGGCGGCACCTGATGTCTAGCCAGGGTCAACCCATCACATCTACAGAACTTAATAAATTCATTTTAACTAAAATAACAAAACATAGAGTTTTACAGATATATAAATCCATTAAAAGACTCATTTCTTTCTTCTCTGTTAAGACCAGATGCCTCATGGTCTTAAAAAACACACCTACATCTGGGAACATTTTGTTCTGACAAACTTCCTTGCTTCTTCCTAGGTGGAGCTCAGAGACAAGTGTTTGCAAGAGCTGTAATCCTTGCATTAGCAACAATAATACTGGCAGGTTTCTATAAGGACAGAAAATACCTGCAACATGGGGTATAGGTTAAAGCACTACTAGTTTATTAGTAGAGAAATATGAGTTCACGTCTGGCTTAAGATAAGACAACTCTCATAAGCTTTTATTGTGGATTTAATTCTATATGCAATAGTTTAATCTTCTGGCGGCAAAATGCTGTTCTGTGAGAATGTGAGTCCTCAATTTTGGGCAAAAATAAGATGTTCTGAAGGGATTATTTCTCTGCAATTTCTAGGCAGTGGTCTAGCTTATAGACCTCAGCTTTGATATTGCATGTTGATATCAGAGCATCCAAAAATAGTCTGAGAAATCATAATATGTTAGCTGAATAAAAAAAGACATTCTCACACTTGGTTTGCTTTAACTTGTAGTTAAAACTGAAGGAAACGTCTGCTGTTTAGAAACAAATCACGCCACAGTGCAGAATATTGAGTAGTGATGTCTCCACTGGAGTTCCTCTGTTGTCGTTTCCCTAGTAGCATGCTCAGTCTTCAGTTTGCTCAGCTAAATGGAGCACGTCAGTAGGGCCAGCCTGTTGGCCTGCTTGCCAGGTTTACCTGAGGACTCCATGTCACCTCTCTGCCATGCATAATCATACAGCAAAGACTTTGCTGTTGGGGACAGAACAATTTGCCCAGATGTTTTTGTAAGAATGGAAATATATTTAAATGGGGCAGGCATTGAATGTTCCAGTGCTACAGGCTGTGTTGTGTGCTACATTAGAGCAGCACCCCACAAACTAACCCAGCAACAACAGTGAACAACAGCCATTAAGCAGAAGCATGTGGTTGCATCTAGAAGGGCTCTCACACCAGCCTCTCCTCCTGGGCTCTTTGGAGACTGAGCTCTATGACTATGTGACTGTTCATATTAATGGCTGAATTAAAACATATATTCTGCTTTGGCCAACTGTGAACCATTTTAAGAGGAACCCATGGGAGGCTGGGAGGGCGGACCTGTAAGGAGATTAAAAGTTAGGTTCCCCAACTCATAAGTAGCAAAGGGAAAGTGGGGATGACTTTTTTTTTAAGCTTGTCAGCTAGACTGGGTGCTGCCCTGTCTGTGACAGACACCATTTCCCCTCTTTTCTGTACACCACTGGGACACTAAAAATGATTCCCTGACTGAACAGCTACCACCTGACATGTTACTGGTTACTAGTCTCCACTGCAGTTACTATTCAGGTACTATTCAATTTAGCTGGATTTTATCTGATTTTGCTAATGGTTTCAGCTTAAATCTGTACTTTTGTGAATAAACAAAAAATGCTCTTCCAGCATTTTTTATCCTTCTTCTTTAATTTCACTATTTTTTATTTTATTTTTTTCTTTTTGTGATGCTGACAAAACTCACAGAAGGATAGCGAGTACCTGTGGGGTGAAAACAAGTGAGAGTGTCCTTGCTAGGGTATTGATACTTCAGTCCATCACAGATAAACATTACAAAGCCAGTTGGATGGGAGGGCGTCAAAGCAAGAGTGACTAGGACTTGGGGGCAGTTTTTCAGGAAATGTTTTGATTGTAATGGAAACTTACTACCCTGCCACAAAATACAAACACTGTGTATTGTCAAGAGGCAAGAGCCGAGGGAAAATAAAGCTGGGCCTCAGCTAGCAGAAAACACGTAATGCAAACAGGCTGAGAAGGCAGGTTTGTGGTTACACGGGGACTATAAACCCTTGAACTAGCCAAAGTGAATAGCTTTCAGCCACACTCTCAGCTACAACATGATTACAAATTATTCCGTCACTAATCTGTTCTTAATGAAAGTAAAATTCAGATGCAAGTTTATCAGATGTTCTGTGTTTGTACTCCCAAGGCATTTGAAGAAGGCTTTATGCGCCTCAGTCTCAGGAATAAGTAATCCAAAGCAGAAGAGAGAAGATGTGGTGCTGTTACCAACAAACCTTAAAAGAAGGGTTTGAGTCAAGGAAAATGTTTCTCTGTTCACCTTGAACTTTGATCTCATTTCCAAGAGTGTATGTTAATAAGGCTACCAGAACAGTAATTATGGAAATGCAGGGTACTGGCTGCAGCACCTGAATGTGCTCCTAAATTTCTGAAAATACAGTGAGATCCACACTCAATACTCCCATGTGAAGTGAAAAATCTCGACCAAAGCAATATGCCTTCAGGACAGACTCTTAATAGCACAAAAATTGAGTTTTTCCTGTTAAAAACAAAGTCCCACAGAACTGCAACACATACCTGTGTCACCTTCACATAAAACCTATACAGTAAGCAATTCTTCACCTCCCCCTCCCACCCTATGCAAAGGCTTTGACCATGCTACAGCTAAGCTACAGTTTCTGCTTTGCAAGCTTGGAATCACTTACCTAAAAGATCTTGCTCCTGCAGGACTAAAATGAATGCCAGCACCCAAAGGAAAAGCATGGTTTCAGCCTCTCCAAGCTCTGCTGTAGTCCTGGTGGAGAGCTCTGCAGCCTCCCTCCCGGCTTTGTATCGACTCCTCCGTCCAGCCGTTCGTGCTGAGGTTTAGCCAGAGTTAGGAGGAAATATGCCCAGGCTGAGCCAAGATTCTTGAGCTGTTCTCTTCTGCTTCCCTCCTTTTAAAAACACACCCTTTCCAGCTCCATGCAAAGTCCAGTTACCCAGGCAAGCTGGCAGTTATCCAGGCTCCCCAAAGCTACGTTTTTTACCCTTCTATTTATTTACACAGACTACAACTGAAACACACTGAAGAGCTTTGGGTCGTGTAAATACAGACATTGGGCAAGAAAAGGAAGGGAGAAAGGTGGAGGAAGGGGTGCTGTATGTTTCTTTCCAGGATTTCATCTAGGGTGAGGAAAGCAGGAACGCTGTGGAACACAGTATCTTTAGATCCTGTGAGCTTACAGGGCTTTTTCCATTATCTGTTAATTTTGAAGACTGCAGAAACATCTCTTTTGGGCAGTACAAAGTGTAGCAGTGCTGTAGCAAGTGGCAACTGTCTGTGGTGCTTTGTGTTTGCATGCTATCATAGGAGCTCCTGAGGAGCCATCTGAGCTCTTCTCAGTTTGGAAGGTTTCTGAAATAGGTTTGACTCGGTAACATCACATGCAAAAATAGCTCTGCTAATGGTATTCTAACAATGCTGTGATTTTTGGCAGAATCTTAATTAAATGTTAATTGTCTTGAGTGTTCATGGGTGCTGACTGGGTAAGTGTCAGTCCTTGACCCAACTAGACTGGTGTTCAAAGACTTAACATATCTCCTTCCTGGTATTGTTCCTCATATTCACTTTAGTTGAGTTACCTTTTCCCAGACTACTGCAAATAAAAGCTGAAGAGCCAGTAAGTGTCCTAAAGGCTGTTGTCCAGGATAAGCAGTGTTCTCACTGTTGAAAATGCTAACCTTCAAACTAGAATAGATTTCCTTGGTCTTTACCACCTCCTTAGCAGTCAGAAAATCAAGTTATTTGTGTAAGATACCTGAAAGTGAGCCTATAGGGGTGTTATCACAGAGTTCAAGGTATAGTAATCCTCAGCGACTTCCAAATCAAGTTGGATTTTTAGCTCAATTACAAGGCAAAATAGCCTCAGTAACAAAGATTCTGTGATTGGAATTTAGCTAGAAACTTTGTTGAGGCTCTAAGCCTAAACAGGGCACAGAATATCTTTGGTGTGTGTTGAGCCCTCAGGGCTGGTGCTAGTAAGCCAACATTTTTATAAAATAAAGATGAAATAGGCTGTGGGAGTTCTGGTTGTTTTGGCCTAAATTGCTCGATAGCAGCACTGCAATTGTAAATAACTCTTGTTTTAGGAATAAATCCAATCATTCCTGCTGAAAAATTACATACATTTTAATTTTGTTACAAACAGGTCGCTAGAGAGGAACTATGACAGGTGACAGTGAGTCCACTCTCTTCTATTCTGTTTGAGTATGAGACACTGATGTAGTAAGCTATGACTTTTGATGTGAGAGATTACCTGCATGTTGTCTGTGCTTTGGAGAGAGGAGACTGAGGGGTGGAAGAAGAACATTTATGAAGAGTGGCCTGCTGTTTTCTGAATATGTTTGTGCTTTATCTTTGTCCTTTCTTAAAGAATCACCCCATTCTTCAGCATTCTCTGTACTGCAAAGGCAGCCTGTTTGTGAATGCTTTTCTGCATGCTCTCTGCGTCCTCTATGCCATACTGTTAAAAAGCAGTGAACATTCACTGAATTGGTTTTTTTGTCAACACTCTATAAAAACAAAAGAAGCAATTTCCATTCCAGGCCACCTCTGCTGAGGTTACCCACCCCCTTTACAACACATTTGCTCAAGGTTCCTCCTGATTTGCTCTCAGGCCCCTGGAACAGTTCAGTCTCTCCAAGACACTTGCTTTTTATTTTTACATATTGTGTTATATTTTACCATAGTGAGGTGCTGGGAATATAGCCATGGAGAACTAAACAAAATAGTGAGGGTTTTCTTTAGTATTGTACTCCAGGGGTTGTTTCGGTAATGAGAGAGGAGTCTTCTCCACTGCAGGGAAATGAAGCCAGAAAAGAACACCTGTACCAAGTAGGATTCTGGTTTTCAGTAGGACTAACTGTCCTGAGAATTGTTATTTTCTTAGTTGATTTCCTAAGATGATTTTTGTTATTTATAAATACTCAGAATGAAGCTACAGATGAAGACAACTGAGAACATAAAGTAAAAAAAGTCCAGAGCGTGACAGAAATCTTTACATTGCAAAGCAGACTTTTTCAGCACAAGATTTGAGAACAGCAGAAAGATCATGATACAAACCTATTTGTCTATGAGAAGTTAGTCAGTAACTGATTACTATCAGAGAAAGCATTCTTCAGCACATTCATTGTGGAAATGTCCATATATGAGAATATAATGAGATCATATGAATGTAGGTTTGCATAAAATCCAGCTGTTGAGATGTTCCCAAGATACCAGCAGCCAAAAAAAGCATACCAGTGAACAAGGATGTGAATGTTTGCCAGCAGTCTGTCTGTTGAAAGGGAGAGCAAGCATAAGGATTAAGTCTATTCTGGGAGTGGGTTTGGGGTTTTTTTGCACAGCTTTTCTGTATCTCTTTCTTGGACTAGCCAAATGCTTGGCAAAAGCAATAAATAAGTGCACAGTGATCTCACACTGCATAGGATGAAGGAACAGAATAAAGAAAGGCATGTGTTAGCAGAGGGAATTTGCCACGTGAAAAAGATCATACTGTTATTGGGCATGAAATTTTGCAGCATGGGCTGACAGACGATATAGCTGAGCATACCCTTGGCAAAAACTAGAGTGCACTGTACTGCAGTCCCATGGGACTGTAAGTGAGACAGAGGGAAGTTAACATTAAGTGGAGATAAATTCAGGGAACAAAAATATAGTGGAAAACCCATCCTTGTAGGAAGAGGGAAGCACCTTACACTGAAGAGAAAGAAATGAAAGTGAATAATCTCTCTTCTGGATTTAACACTGGTGGATGATGAAATCAGCGCAAGGTTTGTGTCCTGCCTACCTGACCCTGGGAGAAGATTTGTGTCCACTGAAGACTGGAGGTTCCTTGGGCTGTTGTCACAAGCTTAATGTCTCCTAGCTGCTCATGACCAGAAGTTTTTGCAACTTAGAGGCTGTTGAATACCTTACATAAATTGAGGCTTGGTTCCTTATCCTTTTAGAAGAGGTACATTATTTTCAGTGAGTCTGCTTAGTTTCTGGCTGCTGGGTTGAAACGGTAGTTGGATAGATGTGGAAGCAGAATTTTATTACCTGGAGGGGTTGATTTCCACAGAGCAGGTATGCAGTTTGTGTACTGCTCCTGAGAGAAGCAGAAGCTTGCTCTGCAACTGGTACATCTGTTTGGTGAAGAGATGAAAGGCCTCTTGCAGCTGTGATTTCACCACAATGAAATAGATGTTGCCATTTAAAGTGTTTGATAGTAGTGATTCTTAGCACCACATCCCTGATGGCTTCACTGAGCTTTTTCATGGGACAGCCTCAGTTGGCGTTACAGGTCTTGTGTACTGCAGCCTTCAGGTTCTGTGCCAGTTCAATCCCCTTTCCAGTCTGTTACATGTCAACTTGTACTAGTGTTTACTATACTGATTTGCAAGGGACATAAAAAAGTGTGAAGTTCTCCTGCTATTGTCACAAAGGTGTAGTCTTTGACACTGTTAAAAAAAAATATCTATCACATGGTTGATGGTATGAGGCACTGTAAAGATCAGCTCTGTTTCTAATTGTACCCTCCCTGGAGAAGTTAACTAACTTATGTGTCATGGAGCAGACAACTGATCCAGCCTTCTTCAAAACAATACATTTTGTACTACACCTAAAGCCAGCAGTGAGTCAGCTACAGGAATTAACTGTATTGTGTCATCTTGGTGCCAACATACTAGGCTGCATTCTGTTTGCCATCATTAGGTAAGCATCCGATGGCTTCAGGCTGTTTTGCATCTGTGGCTTCAGCTTCCTGAGCAACATCTGGAAGGAAACTGAATCAGAAAATTGAAGGAAAAGGTGGGTCACATGGAATACTGGTGCATGATGTTGTCTGTTTTGTATTTTTAGCCAGTTATTAGTCCGTTTCGTTTGACAGATTTCATGCATTCATGAAGCCTGGCCATGCCTTGAAAATTCTAGGAAATATGGTACGTGATATGCCTGCCCAATGCAGAGAAATGAAAACTTTGTCTTAACAAAGCTGGATTAACTATATTCCCAGCTAAATTAGTGACTCAGCATGAGACTCTTGACTCCCAGTCTTATATTGCACACATGGTGATCTGATAATATGTGCTATATTTTGTATTACAGAAGGCTGGGTCCCCTTGCTGTTGTAACTTTGTGTCCACCCATTTGAGTCACGTAAAAATGTGAAATAGACCTGTGAGTCCATGACAGATAATATTCCAGAAAATAATACTCATGGAGGAAGTACTTGATTATTCCCAAATTAGAATTACTCAGCTACTGTACTTAGTAAATCAATATTGCAAAACATGCCAATTAAATGAGATAGTTACTCAAAATTGGACCAACATTTTCATTCTATGAAGGAGCGGCTAATATCTAAGAAGCTATTCATCTGCTGGATAGCACCTTGCTGAGCACGAGTCATGATAAACAGCAATAAATCAGAAGTCATTGTTACTTAACATCTGTGTACCTTTCTCCATCAGGCAGTATATCACCCATGAATATGAAGCCTTTGAATACAGGTAATATTTACCATATAAGGGCCTAGTGAATCAGAGAAATAGCTGGATATAAATCCAATTTTTGATTACTAGTCAGCCTATTCTCCTTTCCTCTTAGTTACCACAAGGTCATGGACAGATGCAAGGGAAAAAATAACTTGGCAGGAAGAGAAGCCAAGCTAATCGCTCCTCTGCCATCCTTCTGAAAATTACAGTACATGTAATACATTAAGCCAATGCAGTAAAAATCCCAGGTTAAGGCTCCTTTTAAAATGTTTGTTGGAGGAAATAGACTACTGTAGCATGATGGTAGTAGTTCCTTTGTTATTACAGATCACTCATATCTTCAACTGCGATTT